TGAAGAATATTGAATTCTGAAAAGAAATCCTTAAGATGTATAATCTCCTAAATTAAATAAGAGTCATCAAGTTCATCAAACACAATATATGGGTATATGAGAAACCTAAGGTCTTATAATATTTAATTACCACCTGAAGTGGCTTATTTTTAGTAAAAAAAAATCTCATTATAAAGACATGTTTTGATATTTCAAAACCTTAGTTCTAACTTCTAATCTATATATTATTCCACTTCAATATTCTCGAAGAATGATCCAGTAAATATATTATGATCAAAGGGATGTAAGAGATTTTTTTTTTTGATTACAGAAGTCAATGCATGTAAATGTTATATTTTGTAGTAGAAAAATACTCCAAAGCTCCAGAAGAAAAATAAATAATAAGAGCTCCATAAAGGGAGTATTGAAAGCCTTATAAAGATTGAATATTTTGGGAGATATACCTAATATTCTATTACATTGAGGAATATTATTTTGGTTATAAACAATGCCATATTGCATCACGAGTCTATATATTTTTAAGATGTAAGAGATTCTTTTCTCTTGTGATAAAAGAAGTTAATATAGATATACTTTTCTTGTTATACAAAACTAACAGATAGCTCCAGAAGAGAATTGCATAATAAGAGCTGCATAATAGAAGTAATAAAAGTCTCATAAATATTGAATATTTTGAGAGAATAGTTATTGTCCTGCATTGACGAATATTCTCTTGGGTATTGACAAATTCTTATTGTTTAGGGTGTCTCTATTAATGTTTAAGATACCAGTGGAAATGAATATTACATGACACTTGATCGAGATTTGTTTTTCACGTAAACCAGAAGTTTACTGAACTAATTTTTATTTTAAACATAACTAATTAAATTATCACGATTTAGTTTGTGATGTAAAAAAAAAATCATTAAGAACTCAAGTGAGTACTATTTGAAGGACTAGAAGTTTCTGTTATTATTAGGACCAGAAGATCCTATAGCCTTGTTCTCATTAGAAGATTATTATGAGATTATTACTAATGAAACTTGAGATTCATTTCATACATAATAAGGAATTGTTCAAGTAGAATTGATTGGGTCCATCACCTATTCGTGATGGCAATTTAAATGTTTTATATGATGCATCGTTATATTTGTCATATTTGTTGACAATTAACTCGTAACCTGAAGTTTATGATATTTGTCCATATATTATATTATGGACACAATTTATAGGTTATGAACAACATTAGCTACAAATGAGCCTGCAGCTCTAATTAATATGCAAAGTGCATTGAATTGGTGGCTATACTTTTGATTGTGAGAACAAATCATTTTATACTGGTTTTTGAATCTTCATTTAATTTATGTGGTAATTATTTGGAGCGGATGCTTAATATGCTTAAATTAAGACAAATTATCAAGATACCACAATGGTAGGTAGACACTGAGGGAAGGTTTTTGAACGAGTTGAATGGAAGATAAATTCCATGAAATATGCTAGATATTCTTCAATTAAAAAAAAAGATGTGAACCTGAAGTTCAAGAAAGAAGTTTATAAGATATTGCAAATAAACTTCAATATTTAAATTTTATTTGTCAATTGTAAATGCTCTGTTAAGAGTTGAATTCTTGACATTTTCTCAATCATTAAAAATAATGATATTAGTGTATAGAACCCGTAGTTCCAACAAATGAGAACCTGAAGTTCTCCTTCACATGTATTTTATATAAACATGTTCATTTTTATTAATCCTTCCCTATAAATAAAATGTCAAATCTTCAAAATTTTGAGTTTCTTACTCTTTATATCTCCCGAAGAGAACCAAATTTGTCCCTTTTGACAATATTTGATTGTGTGTCGTATTTGCCCCCTCCCCCACAATGCATCCAAGATAATAAGAGAAGATTGGGTAATTGACATTAGTTTTAACTCCTCGTCAATCGTTAAATGTTAAGAGTTTTTTTGACAAGAGATATATATATACATCACAGTATGTTGATTGTCAATTTTATGATAAAGAGATAAAGTATTCCCATTCTTAGGGGGAGAGGTGAATAAAGAAAGACTGGTAATATAAGAAATTACATGGAATGCATCATCATCGTAAATTTTTGACTCCTGAAGTGGTCAGTGCGATTTTGAAGTCTGATTTGCAATGTAGAGCAAATGAATTATGAGATGCATTCACACATATGAGTAGAGTGACAAAGTTACATATACCAGCATCTTAATCTATGAAAGTCCCATAAGTGACTATTATACAAAGAAATTGTGGGAGAATAATCAGCTTCAAAGACATAACCCACGAAAATGAAGATAGCAAAAATGCTATTAGTGAAACCACATACATGATTATGAGTGATTCCCCAGAAGAGGTAACTGTCCCAGAAGAAGACTAATGCTATTCCAGAAGAAAATGAAACTCCAGAAGAGGTAAATGTCTTGGAAGAGACTACTATGATTCGAGAAGAATAAGTTTCCTAAAGAAACATCGGTACCGAAAGAAAATGAGATCTCTATTAATTATGTACGCGACTGTACAATATGGAACAAAAATGA